TCAAATCTGTGAATTTGTTTATATTTAAAACTAAATATTTGAAAAAAAAAGGGGTGAAAAGGAAAGTCAAATATTGCAATTAAGTCCCTCTTCCACTGCCAAATTCGAATATCTTTTTTTCTCTCATTAATAACGGTAAATAATAATCGAATCCGTAAATAACTCTGTTTTCTAGGGGCAAATCTGTCATTTCGTATCCTTATTAACTTAACTACCCCCAGTTCGCTTTCCAATAATCTCGTCTCCCCAAAATCCATTTATTTCTCTCTCTATCGCTCTCTCTCTCTCTCTCTGTAAAAACCGCGTCTGTTACGGCGTTTCACTGGCGCGACGGAGGCCGGGGAATACAGCGGAGCGAGTTTCGGCGAGCGGCGGTGCGGTGAGTAGTGTGCAATTCAACTGGCGGCTGTGGTGTAGAAGGATCCAAAGCGGCGTGCATGTGGAAGCGGCGGGAGTTTGTGGGGATAATAAATAGGAAGAAGGCGTTTAAACGGAGGCGTGTTTGTTTGGATGGACTAATTGGAGTGGTGGATCACCGACGGCCGTGATGGGGGGGAAGTTGGTGTTCGGTGTGGCGGTTGGTGTGGCGGTGGCGGCTTGTGCGGTGGCGGCGGTGGTGGTCGGTCGGAGAGTTGAAAGGCGGAGTAAGTGGAAGAGAGTGTTGAGAATCTTGGAAGAGCTTGAGGCGGCTTGTGATACTCCTGTGAAGAGATTGAGGCAAGTGGTTGATGCTATGGCTGTGGAAATGCATGCTGGATTGGCCTCTGAAGGTGGTTCCAAGCTTAAAATGCTACTCACATATGTTGATAATCTGCCCAATGGGTAACCACCAATAAATTTTATCTATAATCCTCTGTTTTCAATGCTGGGGGTTTCCTTTTAACTTCTTGATTCTTGACCTGCGGGGGGACTGTGTTATTGGATTCGAGTGTTTTCTATCTGTTTGGTTGTAGTTCTTTAAATCTTTCTTGTTGAATTTTTCATTTGATCTTTGGATTAATGGAAACGGATCGAGTGGTCTCTCATTGTTCGCTGTTGGATTAATTTTTCTTGTTATACTTTTCACGTTTTTAAATTGGGTTTCAGTCTTTCTTTCTATATATCATCTTTGATTCCGTTTTGGGATAAAATGCTCCTTATTTGCTTGTTCTTGTATGCCCATATGTATTGTTTTTTCCCAGTTGTATTTTCTATTCACGAGTTTTTTTAGTTGTACTTTGATTGACGTGTTGCGATATACGTTGTAGTTATACAGGTTTATCATGTTTATGCTGCAGTGTGGGGGCATTTTCGCTGTTCTTACTGGGTGGTTCTCCTTTTCTGTTCGTTTTCCCTCTTCAGGAGCGAGAAAGGAACCTTTTATGCTCTGGATCTTGGGGGTACTAATTTTAGGGTTTTGAGAGTTCATCTCGGTGGCCAGAGGTCTCTTAGTTTGAAGCATGATGTGGAGATGCAGCCGATTCCCCAAAATTTAATGACCGGCACACGCGAGGTGGTTTCTACCATAAACCTCTGCAGTTGATTTAAGCTGTCATTTAATATGTCGTTTACCGATCCATGTTTCTTGCTTGTAGGATCTATTTGATTTTATTGCTTCTTCGCTGAAGGAGTTCGTGGAGAAAGCCAATGATCCTGATCAGTTGGCTGCTAGAAGAAGGGAACTTGGATTTACATTTTCCTTTCCTGTCAAACAAACATCTGCTTCATCAGGCGCGCTGATTAAATGGACTAAAGGATTTTCCATTGAAGACATGGTTAGTTCAATGCTGCTCAAATGAATTGGGTTTTGGACCTCTAGAGTGAGGAATGAAAAAGTGTTCTTTAATCTTTCGTATGAAATTTGTTCTGCATGGTAACGGTTCCCCTGGTCACTTTTTTGCCTGTTAAAGCATAGATGCTAAAATCTTTTGAGGTTGACTTTGCCTTGAGTGTGGATTGTGACACTTTTTGACTTGTACAAAAACTGAATTTCACTATTCTCAGAACAATAACAGCACATCATCTTTTACCTTGAAGTTCTATACTATTAGCTAATGCTAGGAAATATCTTTCATCGGCTATTAACTAGGCTTTCAAACTGTTATACTTTTCAGATTGGACGAGATGCTGCAGAATCTTTACAACAAGCAATTGATAGGATTGGACTGGATATGAGGGTATCGGTATTGGTAAGCATTCTGTTGATTAACAAGTAGGCTGAAATGTTGACGTGTGTAGGACGCTTTTAGGTGTTGATTTCAGCCTCAATTGCTATTGACTTGAAGAATTGTATTCCCTTCCCAAAATCTGTTGGTTGTTGTGGATTTTTAAGTGTTATGTTCTTTTCTTGATTTGTTTGCACTCGTCTGCCTGTACTTTTGTACTCTTTGAAGGTGTTTCTTATTATTTTTTTTTTTTTTTAAAAAGTTGCAAGGTCTATGATTCCTAGACTCCATAGTGGTTGTGAATCTGATAAGTAATCTGCCTACAACAAAATAAGCTCAGGGGAAATTATTAAATTTGATTATGCTGTGAAATTTGAGCACAGAAGAGGGATTAAATGGTTCATATAGTGTCTATCACTCATTTGGTTATTTAAACAATAAATAGTCACATGAAAAGCTTTTTATATTTCCAGAAGTCGGAGCGTGTGATAGTAGTATTTGATGTAGTCTTGATATTGCTGGTGATGAGTGCATACGTACATATTCACATTCCTGTGATGGCCTGAAATGGCTATTTGTATCTTACAATGTTACCTATATATGTTCATGCAATTTCATTTTTCCATTGTATCCAATTTGACGGTTAGTAGTTACGACTTATGAGACAATTGCACAATGTTTGTAAGTTTAGTTACCATTTTCTGAATCAGATTAATGACACTGTGGGAACATTAGCTGTTGGACATTATCAAGATCCTGACACTGTTGCTGCAGTTATAATTGGCACTGGCACCAATGCTTGCTATCTTGAACGTACCGATGCCATTATCAAATGCCAGGGAATTTTTACAACATTTGGGAGAATGGTACTTTTCTTTAGTAAAACCGACTGTCTTTTTTTCTGTCTCGAAAGTATACATGCTCGAATGACATCTTTTTAATCATCCAGGCCATCAACATGGAATGGGGAAATTTTTGGTCTTCTCATTTGCCAAGAACTACTTACGATGTTGATTTGGATGCTGATAGCCCCAATCCCAATGAACAGGTATGGTTGATTTTCGTTGTCAAACTTCTTGAACTACTACATTATGTCGGAACTAATTTTGTTGTGTATGAGCTTGACGTAGGGATTTGAGAAAATGATATCGGATATGTATCTTGGAGATATTGTGAGGAGAGTAATTCTGAAGATATCTCAAGAATCTGATGTTTTTGGCCCTGCTTCTACCCTGTTATCGATGCCCTTCAAATTGAGGTAATCTCTCTCTCTTCCTCTTCCCCCTTGCTCTCTTTCTCTCTCTCTCTGCGTTGTGGTCACTGTTTCATCAAATTTTCAGAACGCCATTGATGGCTGCAATGCATGAGGATAGCTCCCCGGAGTTAACAGAAGTAGCACGGATCTTAGAAGACATCTTGGAGGTGGACATGAAAGCTATATTTTTTACATTACTGTCTCTCTTTGTTTATCTTAAATGGAATGAACCTGGTATTTGTGTGCCAACCATGTTTTCACTGATTCTTTTTTCTTCATCGGTTCTTTAATCCTCTCAGATAACTGATATACCGTTAAAGGTTCAAAAGCTGGTAGTGAAAATATGTGACATTGTGACACGTAGAGCTGCTCGCTTGGCAGCTGCTGGTATTGTGGGCATCCTAAAGAAGATAGGGCGGGATGGAACGAGTGGAATCGCTGGTGGAAGAAGTAGAACTAACATCAAACTTAAACGAACAGTTGTTGCAATTGAGGGAGGTCTATATACAAGCTATACAATGTTTAGAGAGTATCTACATGAGGCTTTGGTTGAAATACTGGGAGAGGAGATCGCCCTGCATGTTATTTTAAAGCCAACGGAAGATGGTTCGGGTATTGGGGCTGCACTGCTTGCAGCTTCTTATTCATCCTACGATACGGTATCTGTGGATAACTCGCTATAAATACACACACACATACGTAATTAGATCGACTATAGAAAAAGTATTCATATACACAAAATGATAGCTTCACTTAGCTTGTACATTTAGCAATTCATTTCAATATTTGATGATCTGTGTATAAAGAAGGCTGTCCATATTTTATTTGTTCTTTTTCTATTGTTCAAAGGTGACAGTGTTCATTCTATTGCATTGTTTGTTATATTCATTGCAACATATGAAGTTGTGAACAATGACAGATCATGATTTCAAGTGGGCATGGAAATATAATGTGAAAATTCCTCCTCTTCCTCCTGTTTTGCCTCTAAAGGATTTGCCTGTTTCAAATGGTTTGTGTTTGTGCTGTTTCTCTTGCTTTTAACTGCTCTTACTCTTAGGATCAGATTGTTTATCTATGTTATGGTTCAGATGTACATTTAAGGGGCCTGGTGAACCGGTGAACTGGAAGTTGAGGCGGAGATATTTCTCTTTGTTAGCTAAATGGGGTTGGAGTGGAGAAGTGAATTTACCGTCCTGACATGCCCTACCTTTATACATATGGTGGTAAAAGTCTTTCTAGCTGTACTTTCAGTAATCGTCCTTTTCTAGCAGAAAATGTTGTCCTCTTTAGAAAAGCCAAAACACTCGAATCTTTACTCATCTAGACAAATATTGAATCAAAAAGAAATGTGTGAATATCAACTCGGGTTGCACTTGGAATTTAGATAAATGTTGCAATATTGATCTTAAACTTGAGAAAGTTTACTCTTCAATTACTTTGCATTTGAAAATTGTCAAAAAGAGTATTCTCGTGGTTGATAGCAAGTATGATACAAAAATGAAAATATTTTGATGACGAATTTGTGAAACTTGATCTAATCGAAACTGATAAGTTTGTATAGAGTTTTACGTTGTACTTAAACTGAGGTCGTGGGATTCATATAAACAATTCAACTGGAATATCATTCCCTTAATATTAATATTTGATTTAAACAAGGGCAAGGGAATGGGAAGGGCATAGCATTTGCTTACATTTTATAAGCTTAGACTCTTGAGCCTTTTTTGCCTATAAATGCTTCAACCATTTGTAGCTTTGCATTAGTTTTCATGATGCCAAAGCTGTCCAGTAATCTGCAATGCATGAGCTCGTCGGAGTGTCGATAATCCGAGACCAAATCCAGTTCGAGTCCTCCATTTGTCGCATTTCTGCCAACTATCAAGATAAAAAGCAAAACTTCCAAGTCATTTTAGGCACATATGTACATATCATAGAAATCTCGAATAAATAGATGATTACAAGTTTTGATAGAAATCCTGAGTTCGAGATATTGAATTCAATATCAAATCATATCATATCATGCACATATCATATATCATAACATTCACATATCATAACACGAGCATCTAACATATCCTATCTTAACATATCATTTCATCACATACAATACAACATTAACATAACATAACGTACACATATCATTTCATAACAGTTCAAATATACGAGCATATGACACGTGTGAAACCATAGGCACGTGTCAACATACAGCATACAGTTATAACCAAATCGATAGTAAGGTCAGGCAAGTAAATATCACTTACCCTACCATCCCTTAGCTCAAAAATGACAGCATCCTCAGAAAACTGAATTGGTTTAGTGGAAGAAACCTGCAAAGGATTTGGAAGCTAAGAAAAGTCTCATCTCATAATGTAATAATGCCATCAAAATCTCATAATCAAACCTTTGGGCCATAGTTTTCCTCATTATCCTTCACATCTTCAGGATCTCTCTCCATTGTAAGCTCTTCATCAACACAAATTTGTCCCATCCCATCTCTATCAAACTGATGTGGGAAGCCACAATTTCTCCATTTCCATGTGTCTTGATCAACATACCTGAGGTATACTCTCCCATCTGAACCAATAAGAAACAGTTGATTACCTTCAAAGCACGGCCCGGGCGTGCTGACCAACGTCACGCCTCTGTACGGTCTTCCATGCTCCACCCAGTTCCAACCATCCCAAGAACTCCAATGATATTCAATGAGGCCACCATCTTCAGAGATCATAAACAGTGAGCCTATAAGAGAGTATGGTGATGGTCTGGTTGCTATTCCTGGCAATCTTGATAGAAGTAGATGCTGAGATTGATGATGTTCATGCCACAACTCCGTCACTTTGTTGTACTGATATAGTCGACCGTTTGTTCCGATCACGAACACTATGTTTTCCCTGAACGTTTCTTGATCTATAATGCTTGCAACTTTTGCGTTCGGAGGATTTCGGCAGTCTTTCCACTTGAATTTCCTCAGTGCAACCTGCAAAAATTTTCGAGTATGTCAAGAACTTAGATACAAATCAATATTTGATGGTTTTGTTCCTGAAACTTACTGTGAATTGGAGCAATCTTCCTGTTTTGCTGGTAAAGAAAAGTGCATCTTCTGGTGTGACCCTCATAGACTGAGCTATGAACTTATCCCAAGGAGCACCTCCAATGACTTGTTTCCCTCTTCTAAAAGCACTGCAGTTTGTCCATGCCAGTTCTTGGCTGCTTCTTTCTCTAATCAGCAAACTACCATACGTATCGACAACGTATAAACTTCCGTTGTAATTACCAACTGCACCTTTGATATGAGTTGGGCTCTCATGCCTCAGCCACACCCATACATCTCCAGTGTAAAGGTACTCAAACATCAAGCCATCGACTGTTATGAGGAAGAACGATCTTCCTCCGTGCATTGCACGAAGACGGAAGCTGTTCTTCGTCCAGTTTTCAGCGAGAAGATAGAAACTATTAGATGATTTTTCAGATATACTCTCTGATTGTCCTGGTATTAAGTAGTTTTGTTGTGGTTGGCTTCCCTTTGCTCTTCTTTTTGCTGATCTTCTTGTCCCTTGATCGCTTATATCGTCTTTCGTTCCTGTAATGCAGTTTGTCGGTCCACGGAGTTCCGTACAATACTCTCTATTCCACCCCTCTGACTCTGGTGCATCGAGTATCGACCATGTATACTTACCTGTTGGTTTTCTTCTTGAAGTAGTTTGATGAGTTGGCCCTGAATTTTCACCACCTAGTCCTGCAAGATGAAGCTCCCCGAGCCTACCGTCGTCCAACGCAAACAATAACCGTCCAACTTGGATCTGTAAACCGCTAATACCTCTTGCAGCTTTTGCATTCAAGGGATGCATATGGTTTACCCAAACATCTGGTGTTTCTTCTTCCTGACCATGACCTGCTTTTATGTGTCAAGAAACAAGTTCAATATGAAAGATGAACTAATTGATATCATTAAATCATCAATAGAATAGGTGGCGTTTACCTGGATAACCATTCGTTCGATATTCAAATACGAAACCGGAAGACGTGGTGAGAAACAACGAGAAAACTTTCCCATTTGATTCGTCTTGCAGAGCTGGTAAAACTGATGCCAGTTTATGATCATTTGGTCTTCCATGGACTAACCATTTCCACTTCCTTTTGTGCAATCTTCTTTCTATCAAATTACCATCCTGAAATTTGTTTTCACTTAACAAACTCAGAGAATAACTTCAAGTTCATAACAACTAAAGGAAAACATGTATTACCTTAGTTAAAAGAAAGAGATATATGGAATGATCTCCATTCAAGCTATGTCGATAGCATCCCGACGACGCCATCAAACGGAAATCTCGTGCCTCTCCGTCTTTAGATACATGCTTCTTCCACAGTGGCTTTGAGCTCCTATCATATTCATAGAGATCTCCCACAGAGCTGCATTTCACAATTTCTTTTTTACCTTAATCTGATACTCTGTAAATTCAAAATGAAAAAATATAGTTCATCTTTCTAAAATGATATACAGAAAACACACATGAGTAAGCATAAAAAGAACCTTATGGTATACACAATCTCTGTTCTGAAACTAGCAACGTCTGCTATCGCTGCAACATCGGCATCACGAGGCTTCCCGTGATCTACCCATCTGTTCTTCATTTTCAATGGTAAAGATAAAAATATGAGTTTTCTTCACCTCAAATGTAAGTTGGAAGTAAAAGTGGTCTTTTAATGGCTTTGTACCTTGGAGGCTCAAGCTCAGTTAGCTCCAGCAGGTTTCCATTCCTTGTATTGAAATAAACTCTCCTGGTTTCCATTCATGATATATCATCATTAAAATTTACACACACAAACAAAAGTAAAACGAAAACAAAAACGAAAACGAAAACGAAAAGCCTTACATTCCATCATGAGAAACAACACCAGCCAATAATTGGATTGAAGAAGCAGCATGTTCTTCACTAGTTGTTTGATCAAATGATGGTATTAACTCAAACCAAACTGATTGAGAACTTTCACTGAGCAGAAACTACAAAAGAAAAGGAAATAACTCCATTGAATTTATGCAACTTCCATCGATATTTCATTCGATCCGTTTGCATCGATATCATATTGGTTTTTCGAAAGAACAGAGATCAGTTCTTAGAAGTATTACCTGATACAAAACCCCTGCTTCTGACAGAGCCAGAATTGAGTGATTAACAGCAAAAATGGAGATAGCAGGACCTGCTAATATCGGCAAATCATGAGGAGCAATCACCCATTGAATTCCATTCCAAAACCTCTCATAGATTGACCCACTTTCACCAGTGACCCAAATGGACATATCTGAAACTCTAGTCAATGACACTCTTTTTCTCAGAGGCAAATCATCATCAACCTTATGTGCAACCTCTACTTCCCTATCGTTTTTCGGGTTCTCGGTCCGGTCGAAACCATCATATCCATTCTCCATCTTCTCTTCTCCGTTATTAATCTCACCAACCTTGGTACAATTCCCATTTCTACAAGAGATAAGATCGTAAGGAAGTTTAACTTCAACCCACCTGTTTGATTCCTCTTGGAACTTCCAAAATCTCTCTGTTTTCACCTCAAATTTTCGATCAAATTGCTGAAGATAATGATGTGGGCAGTATGAGTTGATTGATCCTATAACTTCTGAGCTGCTTACAGAGATGACCCAGATGAGAATTATCACGTGGAGCATAGTTTCGTAGCTGAAAAACACTAGTTTTAAACAAGATGACAAAGAATACTAAGATTTATATGCTACGTGGTGACCCATATGGATCATAGCAGAAAAGGGTACCATCATAAACTACTCATAAGGAATTCTAAAGCTCTTTTGGATCATAACAACATAACTTAACTGCCTCTATGAAGAGGAAGTTCATCATTTTTGTGAACTCTGATGGGTTTATGATAGAAAAAGCAGTGCAAGTCTGTGTTGATGGGTTAGTTTATCTTCTTCTTCAAAACTTCCATTCTTTTTTTTCTTCCTCACCTAATGCTAATGACTTTTCTTGCTTTGTTTCTTAAAAAAATGAAAGGAAAATGACAAAAAGAGAGAGAGAATGAGATTACCTTCCATTGAGCTTTCTCCTCTAACACTCCCTTTTGAATGGACAAAGCCATAGTAAGATTCAAGACTGTCTGTTGTTCAATCTCAACCGTCCAAGTTTCTTGGTTGAATCAGATGGGAAATTCAAAGGGCTTGGGCAAAATCATTGAGGGAATTGTTCTTGGAGAAGGGAAGAAAATGGGTTCTTCTTGGTACACAATTTGGGGGAAAAATAGGACCCATTAGCTGTTTTGATCTTGGTTTTTAGGGTTCTACAAAATCTACTCATTTGGGTCCTTCTACAATTTGTTCATCTTTCAAAATTTTAAAGCTTTATTGAATTTACTAGTGTTCGGGTCCGTTTGTGCACATCTCGAACTTGTTTTATGCACTTATTGTATCTGGTTACAAAGGTAACTCGGTTCATTTCCTCTATAAGACAGCCACCTAACTCGAGACCCTGATTATCAACGACAAGATCAACTTAGGATAGAAAAACTAAATTTAAGATTTATTGAAAGTGCAAAGACTAAATTGGATATTCGAATGAGTATAGAGATGAATTCTACTGAAAAATACATCAACCCAACAACATTCTAACCCTAAAAACGGTTTTGACAACATTCCCTTATAAATATTTGGAATCATATCTACCTATTACATTTTCTGATATGAAAAAATTTCGTTTCTATTTCAATTAATTTGGATGAAAATTAAGTAAGATTTATTGGAAGTACAGAGACTAAATTGGATATTTGAAAGAGTATAGAGATGAATGTAGAATGAAACTGTAAAATAGGTCGACCGAACCATATTTTAACCTAAAAAAATGTCGTGTCGCTTCGTAATTAAATTAAAGTGGTTGGTTTTTGTAAATGTCTATGGTGTTTAGCATTAAGTGAGAAATGTGGAAAAAGCTTCCTCTAAAGTTTGCCCAAATACATTTAATGTCATTAATTAATTAGTTGAAGCTTTCTTTAAAACAAAATTGACCAAACATTGCTTAATTAATTCATTCATTATTTAATTTTGGGTTTAGGGCTGCTACAATTATGCAATTTAAATCTTATGATGTAATCTTATAATATATATATATATATTATTTTAATTTTAATTTTAATTTCAATTTATGACTAAAAATAGACGACAAAAAAAAATAGTAATAAAATAATGTTTATAAGTAATTCTTAAAAATAATATATATATATTATATATAGTTATGAAACAGAGCCTAAATGTGAGATTACACGTAGATTGGAGAAAGTAACAAACTATTTGATACAAGGGTATGAAAAAACAGACGCATTTTTGTATCATAAGGTTCAAGGCAACACATAACGGGCCAAAATGAACAATATTTATTAGTGGTGGGTTTGATACAAGGGTGTGAAAAAATAGACGCATTTTTGTATCATAAGGTTCAAGGCAAGACGTAACGGGCCAAAATGGACAATATTTATTAGTGGTGGGTTTGATACAAGGGTGTGAAAAAACAGACACATTTTTGTATCATAAGATTCAAGGCAAGATGTAACGGGCCAAAATGGACAATATTTATTAGTGGTGGGTTTGATATAAGGGTGTGAAAAAACAGACGCATTTTTGTATCATAAGGTTCAAGGCAAGACATAACGGGCTAAAATGAACAATATTTATTAGTGGTGAGTTTGGACTATTACAAATGACATTAGAGCCCAACACACCATCCATGTTTTAAAACTGTGAAGTTGACCGCCCGGAAAAATCACTTTCAAAATTAGAATATTTAGTGGAAGAAAACCGCCCACACAATTTGAACATTTCTGTCCCAAAACAAAACAAAAAAATAGCTCTTTTATAGTTTCATAATGTAAATAAATAAATAATTCTCTTCTTAGGAGTTTTTTTTTTAATAAATTTTTTATTCTAATAAATTGGTTCGTATTGATAGTATTATCGAGATAAAACATTCTTTTTAGATTATTTTTTAAACATGATTGTTTTATATGTCGTGCGATTATACTAATAAATTTTGATTTTTTATAATAATAGATAATATTAAATTGTAAATGAATAATTATTAGAAGTTAAATCATTAGTTACGAGAGTTTGTGGTATAAATATGAGTACGTAACCGTTTCGATCTCGACATATCTCTCAAACAACTATAAAAACACATTCAAATATTAAAATGGACATATAGAAACAATAAAAAGTAAAGTTACGAGAAGTGGAAACCTTAGCAATTAAGAATGGTAAGATTCTTAATTGCTAAGGTAGGAGAGCGAAACCAAAACAAAAACAAATAAAATATTGTTTATTTTGATCCGTTACGTATTGTTGTTAGCTTCACAGTTTTAAGACGCGTCTATTAGGGAGAAGTTTCCACACTCTTATATAAAAATGTTTCATTTCTCTCTTCAACTGATGTGAGATCACACAATTCACTCTTTTGGGGACTTAGCATCCTCGCTGGCACACTATTCGTGTTTGGGTCTAATATCATTTGTAACATATATTGTCCATTGTAGCCTGTTATATATCGTCATTAGCCTCACGATTTTCAAACGTGTCTATTAGAGAGAGATTTTCACACACTTCTAAAGTATGTTTCATTCTCCTTTCCGATACCCTTCTCGAGAATATAAGGATCGTTTTTCCATTAAAACCACAAAATCTTCCATACATATACTTCAAATTCCCTACCAAGTATGTGTTGAAAAAGATGTTTGTAAGATGGGACAACCAAGTGGGCAATCCAAATGGATCATTAAGAAACAAAAAGAAGAAAATGAAAGATTGAGCAATCAAATTAACACAAATTTTCAAACCTAAATAATTAACTTCTTTTTTTCCTTTATTGCATCACAAAAGCTAGAATCATGAAGCTGAAATTACCATTTTGTCCCCTATAAAGAGAGGCCATTAGAGTTAAATGCAACCCATTCAAATAACTAAAATGGTAATTTTAATTGGGTTAAATTGATAAAAATATATTTGATTTTTGTATCGGTTTTCAGGGAGAAATGAAAAGGGAAGGACAAAACAGATGCTTTTCTCAAGGCAATCGGAATAGAATGTGGCCGAACAGCTTAGCAAAGTCCCTACTGTTAAGGATATCTAGTAATAAATTATAGTTTATCATATATATTATATTTGATATTTTATTATAAGACAAATATCTAATATTTTCCTTATTATCATAGTATCTTTCCATTTATTGTTATTTCCATATCCTTGTAATTTATTTGATTATAAATAAGATAACTTTCACACCATTTAGGTGCGGTGGATTAATCAAACATTCACACTTGCCCATCTGGAGGTGCACCCCTTTCTATTTAGAAGGATATCAAAAGGGGTAAAGAGACAAGAAAATGGAGAACTCCCAAATCAAAGTCGGGGATTTCTGTTTCAGTCTCTTCCCAGCACAATTAGCGTTTTTTCGTAAAACAACCAACCTTTTTTATTACATGTTGTACTTCTCTGAAAAACATTGGCGCGCGGGGAAGGGAAACGAGGTGCTCTACCAATGCTTTCATTGAATTCCATGATTCTGTCACAAAGCTTGTTGACTCCTTCGGTGAATGAGCTTGACCTTGAATCTAGGAATAATATCTTCTCAAAACTTTTAAAATTTTCAATAATATTTCAATACACTTATGTTTAGTTTTGAATAGAACCCGTAAATACTTTGTGTCAAAAATACTCCTTTAACTTTTGAAAGTATTTCAAAATTTTCATTAATACCCTTAAAAAAAATTTAAAAAAAAAAGTTAAAAGAAGATAAATATTACTTTAAAAAAATATAATTAAAAGGACCTTACGACCGCTAATATTTGATCTACGAGTTTATATTTTAATACAAGATTAAATATATATAGTTTAGTTTTAAACTTTGACTATTTTTTTTTTAATATTATAAACTAGTTTTATTCGATTGTGAAATGAAATATATAAGATAGGAATACTATATATTATAAAAATAGTCACAACCTAATCTAACTAATAAATGCAATGCATTTATTGTACACGTGTGCCTCGACCCACATTATGTTTAAAATGATGCCGTTGACGTAAATAGGAGTATCTATATTTGGTTGAAAACGTGCTAACATACATACATAAATTTTGATACGAAAGATCAGCTTCAAGACTCGTATGACTCAAACCATATCTTTTACCGTTAATAAGAACAAAACCTGTAACGGCCTACGCCAATTGCTAGTAGATATTGTCCTCTTTAGATTTTCCCTCAAGGCTTTAAAACACTGTCTGCTAGGGAGAGATTTTCACACTTTTATAAATAGGGTTTTGTTCTCCTCCCCAACCGATGTGAGATATCACAATCCACCCCCCTTCAGGGGCCAACGTCCTTGCTAGAACTCGTTCCTTTCCATAATCGATGTGGGACCCCACCAAATTCACTACCCTTTTGGGGTCCAGCGTCCTGGCACACCACCTCGTGTCTACCCCTTTCAAGGAACAGTCTCCTCGCTGGCACATCGCTCGGTGTCTAGCTCTGGTACCATTTGTAACGGCCCAAGCCCACCGCTCACCGATATTATCCTCTTTGAGTTTTCCCTTTTGGGTTTTCCCTCAAGGCTTTAAAACAAACGCGTCTGCTAGGGAGAGGTTTCCACACCCTTATAAAGAGTGTTTCGTTCTCCTCCCCAACCGAGATGGGATATCACAAAACCATAATAAAATTCCCTATTCCTTTGCTCGAACAAGATCTACCAACCTATTTTCTAATTAGTTTTAAAGTATAGATTGATTGTCATTTGAATATTCCTGCACATAACTCATAAGTCAATTCCAAGTGGGTAGGGAGAGGAATTTCCATGGCTACCATTGTTTTCCCTTAAAATGTCAGTGAAAAAGTTCATAATCAATGTAATATGAAAAAGGGTTCTCTAAACAATAATGAAAATCATCTCAGTGGAGCAGCCAGAACTTACAATCAAAAAAGGAAAAAGCCTACGATTCTAAACACTCTATGTTACTCTAAATAAAGATTCCAATAGTAAGATGAGGA